CTTTGGGCATGTTGTAAGCAGAACTCTTGGTTTCCCCTCAAACCTGCTTCCCTGCAGCTGTCCCCACGTCAGTAAGTGGCACCACCATGCCCAGACAAAAGTAATTGGATTGATTATTCTCCTTAAAAAATTGGTGTAAACTAACCCTTTATCCAGTAGTCATTTGCTAAGTGAAATAAGTCAGTCAGAGAAAGACATATGTTTTCACTCATATGTGGATCTTGAGAAACTTAACAGAAGACCATAGGGGAAGGGAAGGGGAAAAAACAGTTACAAACACAGAGGGAGGGAGGCAAACCATAAGAGACTCAAATACAGAGAACAAACAGGGTTGATGGGAGGGTGGGGGAGAGGAGAAAACGGGTGATGGGCATTGAGGAGGGCACTTACTGGGATGAGCACTGGGTGTTGAATGTAAGTGATGAACCACAGGAATCTACCCCCAAGACCAAGAGCACACTTTCCACATTGTATGTTAGCCAATTTGACAGTACATTATATTAAAAAAAAAAAAAAAAAAAAAAAAAAAGTGTGAAAGTGGACAGGCAACTGCCCACCAGAGGGCAGTACAGGCAAGTGGTTCTGTCCACAGCAGGCCAACCAAGAGCTGTTGTTTCCTCTCCCACCTAACTGGCTCCACATGAGGTCGCTTTTCTCTGCACAAAATATTTTTAGGCTTCTTAGACCACTTTAGAAGAGAGAATGTGGATAGTTATACTCCTTCCTGTTTCTTTTTCCCCTTTCAGGTCTGTTTGTAAATTCTGGGATTTTAGCTATTGGGTCCTCTGCTTCATGGAGTTTTTGGAAGAGCCTGGGTATGAGAAGTACAGATCTGCCCTCCCATGTTTGTATTCTATCAGCCAACAAGGCATAATACCTCCTAGCACTCAGGAATTACAACTGTCTTTTTATGACAAACTGCCAAATCATTGTCCTACTGCAGTTACTCTATAAATGTCCTAGGATCTATTAAAATTCTAGGAATTTCACGCAAGGATTTTACCTCTCTTAAAGCTGTGATGTGCTTCTTTACTGAGAGAATGACTTACCCAAAGAAGACGGGTTCGCATAAACCTTGTAGAAAGTTACCCGGAAAATTACATGATTCATCTGGGGTAGGGGGTGGTTTTTCACCTAGCATTTATTCAATGCCTGTGGAACCAGATTGTGCTACCAGACTAGAAACAACAACCACGGAGGTCAGGGAGTTAGCCCAAGTCTCCTGAGGTGCTTATAATTAGGTGAAGGGGCAGACATGTCCAAAGCAAATTTAGATAAGGCCTTCAACAGTAAGTGCTATAGATACAAAGGAAAGTGCTTTGGGAGGAGGCAGGTGGTGAGAAAGGATTGTTTCAGGTGGAGATGGTAGGTATCACTCATCCTATCATGGCTCAGTATATGGAGTCCTTTTGTGAGGTCCTTCAAGCCCAAATTCAGCGTCAGGACACCAGCCTCTGGATCGCTTGCTCTGACCCTCCCCAGATTACTGAAGTGCCCTTCCTATGTTGCCATCATCCAGTTCACCCTTCTCTTATGGCACGCTGTCCACTGTTGTTAATTTGCATGCTACTCTCCTGAGGACAAAGACCGATTACTAATAGACTTGTGCATTCTCCCATTCTGGCTCCATCCTGGTCCTGCACGTGATTATCTTTTTCTGGAGTACTCTCTTTTTTTCCGTCTGTTTCTACATGCTATCTCTTTCTAAATGCAGTGGCAGGGACTCACTGACATCTTAAAAAGTAAAGGAGAGAAAAAGAACTAACTGTCATTGAGTGCCTCGTGTTGAATACTCTTTACTATGTTAGGTATTTTATGAGCATTTTCTCACTCAACCTTGTTCCTCTAATGCACCAAGCTTCTTCCCCTTTCAGATCTTTGCACTTGGTATTTCCTCTCATGGGGACTTTCTCAAGTGCTCAAGAAGGTATCTTCCTTTTCTGTTAACAAACATGTAGAGTTTACAAACCATCCTTCTGAAGTTAATTTTTCAGATTGGTTATCCACCCCTCCTCTCAGAGGTGGGTAGGGTCTCAGAGACAGGAATTAGCTGAGGCTAGGCTGAGAACCTGCCATCTCCTCCCTCTCATTGTCTCTGCCCTTCTGGCTGCTCCCCCAGTACGTCAAGTCCTGGTCACTGGCTGTCTCAAGTCAGTTTACTAATATTTACCAAAATTGCTCTGTTTCTACTTCATTATAAGTGGTAGTGTCATTCAGACTGTACCTCTCCTAGGAGCTAAGGGATTCCATTTTTTGGCTAGCTTTCCTCTTAAGATTGGGCAACCAATCATCTTTTTTTTAAAAAAAATTTTTTTTTAACATTTATTCATTTTTGAGAGACAGAGACAGAGACAGAGCGTGAGTGGGGGAGGGGCAGAGAGAGAGAGGGAGACACACAATCGGAAGCAGGCTCTAGGCTCTGAGCTGTCTGCACAGAGCCCCACACGGGGCTCGAACTCACAGATGGCGAGATCATGACCTGAGCTGAAGTCAGATGTTCAACCAACTGAGCCATCCAGGCGCCCCTAACCAATCATCTTTTAATTGAATTCGTGTTTAATAATTACAGGTACCATGCTCCCCCTTTCCTCCTGTCTGGCAGCAGCAGGGATGGTGCAGGGGCTGGGGCATGAGCCCCCAGAACTAGTCCTATTTTAACGTACGGTTTTGTTCTATATAGCCTGGAAGTCTAGATCCAACCTTATAAATGGATTTATATTTAATAATAAAAACTCCACCTGTTTTTGCCAATCTAGTGTGGAAACAGTATAACCAAGTGCTCATCTTCTGATACACACAAAATCTTACTTTAAAAAATCTTACCCATCCTTTAAGGCTTAATTCGAGTCCTGACTCCTCTGACATTTTCTGCACCTGTAATAACTACCCTGCATTAGTCTTTCCTGCTCTGAACTCCCATGGTCTTCATACTTAAGTTTGGCCATTAATCTAGAGGATCATATTTGTTATTTAGTCGTTTTGTGTATCTGTTTTTTTTTTTTTTTAATTTTTTTTAACATTTATTTATTTTTGAGACAGAGAGAGACAGAGCATGAATGGGGGAGGGTCAGAGAGAGGGAGACACAGAATCTGAAACAGGCTCCAGGCTCTGAGCTGTCAGCACAGAGCCCGACGCAGGGCTCGAACTCACGGACCGCGAGATCATGACCTGAGCTGAAGTCGGCCGCCCAACCGACTGAGCCACCCAGGCACCCTTGTGTGTCTGTTTCTTAACTGACCAATGAAATGGTAAGATGTCAGTTGATCGTAGCAGTATTCCCTTGATTTTTGCTATGTTGAAAAAGGCACCACTTTTAAAGGATATTTTTAGAGCAAGATTTTTTTTAATATGAAATTTATTGTCAAATTGGTTTCCATACAACACCCAGTGCTCATCTCAACAGGTGCCCTCCTCAATACCCATCACCCACTCTCCCCTCCCTCCCACCCCCCCATCAACCCTCAGTTTGTTCTCAGTATTTAAGAGTCTCTTATGGTTTGCCTCCTTCCCTCTCTGTAACTTTTTCCCCCCCTTCCCTCCCCCATGGTCTTCTGTTAAGTTTCTCAGGATCCACATAAGAGTGAAAACATATGGTATCTGTCTTTCTCTGTATGACTTATTTCACTTAGCATAACACTCTCCAGTTCCATCCACATTGCTACAAAAGGCCAGATTTCATTCTTTCTCATTGATGCATAGTATTCCATTGTGTATATAAACCATAATTTCTTTATCCATTCATCAGTCGATAGACATTTAGGCTCTTTCCGTAATTTGGCTATTGTTGAAAGTGCTGCTATACTCTCAACAATAGATGGGTATTGAGGAGGGCACCTTTTGGGATGAGCACTGGGTGTTGTATGGAAACCAATTTGACAATAAATTTCATATATAAATTAATAAAATTAAAAATTGTTGAAAGTGCTGCTATAAACATTGGGGTACAAGTGCCCCTATGCATCAGTACTCCTGTATCCCTTGGGTAAATTCCTAGCAGTGTAGAGCAAGATATTTTTAAATGACATATTTTTCCTAATGCATTTTACTTTCTTAAATTCAACTTAAAAATTACTCACCTTGTTTAAGTTTTCTTAAAAGCATTTTTCATTAGGGGTGCCCGGGTGGCCCAGCTACTTGAGCATCCAGCTTTGACTCAGGTCTTGATCTCAAGGTTTGTGTGTTCGAGCCCTGCGTCAGGCCCTGTGCTGACAGCTCAGTGCCTGGAGCCTGCTTCAGGTCTGTGTCTCCTCCTCTCTCCCCTTCCCGACTTGTGCTCTGTGTCTGTCTGTCTCTGTCTCTCAAAAATAAATAATAATAATAAAATTTAAAAAAGCATTTTTGTTATCTTTAAGATTATTTTTTTACATTATCAATTAATTTTATTCTGAATGTTTATTTAAGAAGACTAAAGTGTTTAGGTATAATGCACCAAAGAAGTATTTCAGAAAAAAAAGAATATTTATTATTTCCTTTTGTAGCCTCAAAAAGCCATTTAGGAAACTACACTCTTTTAAATCTTTTATAGGACTTTGGGATTTTTATAGTTACTATATTAAAGTCATTTGCGGTGTTGTACAGAAAATTTGTAAAGATTTATTTGACAAAATTTCAATATTTTCATAGCTATAATTGTCTAAACATTACTAATTGTGTGTTGAGCTTTCTAATTCTTACTATAGAGCTGCTTCTTCCTGGCAAAGTTTAAACATCAGTCTCTAAATCAGTTAGGTTAATCTCTATATAATACGATTAAATTAATCTGACCTGGTTACCACATACATTTAAGATACCAGACTAATGTTTATCATGACATCACTAAGAATATTTCAATTTTAAAATTGAACTTTTAGAATCTGCCAGTTATATTTAACAGAAATATTTCTTTTCTAAAGTAACCTGACGTTATTACAGTATTTAATTTCAAAAACCAAAGTAGTTATAAAATGTGTATAAGGCAAAGCACATTCAAAAACTAATGACATTTCTTTGTCATTTATAGAGATACTTTCTAGTTGGGAGCAATCATGCAGAAACAAAATATCGTGTTTTGAAGATTGATAGAACAGAACCGAAAGATTTGGTCATAATTGATGATAGGGTAAGTATCTTGCAAACCTGAATACAAACAAGAAACTTTTGTACCTGTTGTTTAAAGGATATGAAAGAGCCTCACAGCTCTTAGTGATGTATATATATTTTTTTCCTTTTTAAATCAGGCATCTGAAAATTACAATTATTTCTTATGCTTGGCTGGAATTTAAATCTCTAATCTGGTTTCTAGAAATTACTGGTGTTAAAAAGTATGCTGGAATTGCGCTTTGATACGTTTTGATTTGTTTCACCAAGCAAACTCTTTGGATAAGATAATGAGTATATTTTCTTTTAGAAGTGACATTTTAAGGATTTAATGTAACTCTTAATATTGCATCTACCGAAGAGATTATTTATTACTATGCTTTGATATGAAGCTACTTCATATTAAGTCTGGGCTGCAGACTTTTATTCTATTAAAAATCACCTCTAGGTGATGTTCTGATGCATGAGAGAAATGTTAAGCTGTTCTTTTCCAGATGTTATATTATCTAGAGCAGGAATACAGACTTCATTCAGGTGGCACAAAAACGTGAGACTGTTAGTCAAAAGTGAAATACAGTGTGGTGATATTGAACAGTTCATTGTAACTCTTTCAAATGAAAGAACCTAACTCCCTTTGTATTGAAGTTCTGTCTGTGAACATTTTGAATCCATGTAGATTGCCGGTTTCTCAAATATGTTGGTAGCTACAGTTTGGAACCCATTTTCACTAAGTTCTTTGTAAATCTATTTTCTGTGTTATAATAATTTTAGATAGATTGTATATTGTGATTTCCTGCATTCGTGGATATGGTTGTTCTTCACTCTCCTATTCTGGGAGTTTTTATTAATATACTGTATCGATTCTTGGTTTTACTTGGAGATAGAAGCGGTTGATCAGGGATTCCTTTGAGAATCTAAGAAAAGCTATGGGCCTTATAAAAATAAAAGTATATTTGTGCAATTAAACCTTTGCACACAGTCTTGAGGCGTTCATAGATTTCTTGAAATTTGTCTTGTGGAGCCTCTAAGTGTATGGTTTAGAAGATAAGGTTTTGACACAAGTTTTTGGTAAAGCAGCATGTGATCCAATAACTACCTGTAATTGCTAATATTAAAGAATTTGTTGGCTTTTAAAAATTATGGCTTAGTTGTGCACTATTATATGCTTCTCCATGAAATAGCTAGTGATTCTTATAGGCAATACATCATCTAAAGAATAAGTACAATCTTACAGATTGAGTTTGTTTATTTTTAGCATGTATATACTCAGCAAGAAGTGAGAGAACTTCTTGGCCGCTTGGATCTAGGAAATAGAACAAAGATGGGACAGAAAGGATCCTCTGGGTTATTTCGAGCTGTTTCAGCTTTTGGTGTTGTAGGTAAGAAATGTATCTCCTTCTTACTACTTTTTTTTTTTCCTCTATGTAGACTACTAAAAGATAGTTTTATGTAGTTATGTAATTATAACCCATAATCTGTGGCTTTGGTTGTTTCAATTTCATTATCCATCAATCAGATATCAAATAGCCTATAGTATCTGCCAAGTGCTGTTCAATTTCATATAAGGTAAGCATAAATATAGAAATGGTTTGGGCCTTTAAGAAGTCTGTTGTCGGGCATGTTGAGGAATGAAAAAGTAAAAAAAAAAAAAAAAAAAAAAAAAAAATTAGCTTGGACTATAAACATCTGCCCTGCCATTCATCAGCTGGAAAAACAGATACTGGTAAAACTGGTTTAAATTAACAGGGATTTCTGGGGCACCTCGGTGGCTCAGTCGGTTGAGTGACTGACTTTGGCTCAGGTCGTGATCTCATGGTTCATGAGTTCAAGCCCCGCGTCAGGCTTGCTGTCAGCACAGAGCCTGCATCCTTCCCCCAAATTCAGTCATAAGCCCTTTACTTCATTTATTCACAAACAAATGTAGATATACTTTTGGCTTTTATGGATTCTGCTGTCTAGTTTTGGGACAGTAGTGAGATGCCCCACAGTTCTGATGTGTACATCATCCCTTATTGCAATGAGTCAGTACACCTGTCTTTGCCGTACTATGGATTTGTCTCTGGGAGTCTTAGGCTGACTACACTAGGATGAGGGACAAAATCTAATACATGCAAGACAAGTCCACCATTGTGGTTAAGAGCCAAGCTGTGTAGTGAAAAGTTACATGGGGGTGGAGATTATGTAAGAGGTAGATGACTTGGACCAGGAATGACCAGGAAAGATTTCCTGGGGAAAGGGAGACTCCAGCTGGACCTTGAAGGAGGAACAAGATTTGGATGGATGTGGGGAAGAGGGTGAAAGAACCCCAGTAGGGACGATGGCAGGGGCACAGGCTTGAAGATGTCCCTGGGTCCTGGAATGTTGGCACGTAGTTGGGTGAGGCCAGACTGCATGGGACCTTGGAAGCCAGGCAGAGGACAGTTGTATGGGATTGCTTCTCTGATGGCAGTGCCTTATTTTGAGTCTGCATTTTTTTTTAAACATTTAACAACTTTATTTTTGTGCTCTTTAAACCAGCTGGACTGTATGCAATGTTAACTGAGTGATAGTATCTATAGATGTTAACAAAATTAATATGGACTTAACTGTGCTGTGTAGTTTCAAATGCTTATGTTTTTCTGATTAGCACTTTCTATTTTGGGACACTATTTGTTGAAACTTTGATTATATTCTGCCATATTTGAAGTTTTTCTCCATGTGCTCTCATAGCTCTTCATATGTAATCCCTTCAGGTTCATTTTGTGTCTAAGTGGCTGTCAGGGAAGGTCAAGAGTGGTAGGTGTGTTTGGTTTCTTCTTTGGACTGGCCCCTTTTTTACACCTTCTGCTCCGTCTTGACAAGTATGTTGAAGTTACATGTTTAACAGATAAATGTTTCTGGATGTTTGCACGTCTGTGTATGTCAAGTGAGTTCATGTGTTTAATTAAATTCCATGAATGCCGTAAGTGTTAAATTCCACTTTAAGTGTCACATATATATTTTTTAATTAATTAATTTATTTTCAGAGAGAGAGCAAGTGTGATGGGGCAGAGACAGAGAATCCCAATCAGTCTCCACACTGTCAGCGCAGAGACTGATGTGGGGCTTGACCTCATGAACTGTGATATCATGATTTGAGCTGAAATCAAGAGTTGGACATTTAACTGACACTTAACCCACCCAGGTGCCCCAGTGTTGCATATATTTTATTTTATTTTATTTTTATTTTTTTATTAAAAAAATTTTTTTTGACATTTATTCATTTTTGAGAGACAGAGGAGAGACAAAGTGTAAGCAAGGATGGGGCAGAGAGAAAGAGAGACAGACACACACAGAATCCCAAGCAGGCTCCAGGCTCAGAGCTGTCAGCACAGAGTCCTATGCGGTGCTTGAACCCATGAACCATGAGATTATGACCCGAGCCGAAGCCGGTTGCTTAATGACTGAGCCACCCAGGTGCCCCATGTATATTTTAAATTAAAGGCAAAAAAAACCAAAAACAAAAACAAAAACAAACCCTGGAAATACAATGTGTCTTAAATATAGTAGGTTTTAATTTCAGTATTAGTTACTTAATAGGTTAAACTTATTCCTTTCAATGCTGATACTTATACTTTTTTAAAACGGAAATTTCCTCAGGTGAATGTAATGTTGAATGCCTCATTAGCCAGGGTTTATTATCCAAAATTGAACCTTCTTCGATGATTAAGAGTAACGAAGTGAAGATCAGTTATTGAACTGTTTAAAAATAGCTACCCTTGGGTATTCTGGAGTTGAATTGGGCAGCTTGCCTTTACATTAAATGGTCTCTAGACCGTTATACTGTTTTGTTTTTATGGTTCTTTAGTCATCCTTCATTGTTCTTGGCATATTTGCTTTTAGCAGTATTCTTGCCTCGTTTTATTTTATTTATTTATTTTTTCCTTGCCTCGTTTTAAAATGAGTTATCTATCGATAACTAAACTTATAAAACCAGAGCTTGATTTTTATCAATTGATAACCAGGTTTGTAACCAGATAATTTATTTTATACACAAGTATTAGGAAACTTTGGGTGAAGGCTGAAGGTGTCTTCTTGTCTCTCATAGAGGTGACATCCGTAGGTGTTGCGGTAGCTGTTTCTCTTGCGGTTAGAGACCTCTTATGATTGAGACTATCCTTGGATAATGAAGTCACTGACAGACTGACCTACCAGTAAAGTGACACAATAATGTACTAAGTAAAGATGTATTGGTTTTATGGAAATATATTTTATGTATTCTTGTTCGACCATGTCAGTGAAGCTTAGGATCACTGAAAGAGTAAATAGAGAGTTAATGGAAATCTATGATTTGTCTCGTAAGTCCTGTCTTAGAAACTGTGAGGGATACTGAAACAGTGAAACGCAAAGTGCCTATCTTTGAAAAATATATAGTCTGGTTGTCAAAATAATACATATGAGAAGTGACTAGCATGGTTTTCTTCTGTTCTGTGACCAAAATATTTTCTTAGTTAACTTTTTCAGCATGTGTAATTTGTGAATAGTATTTTGCTGGAATGTTTTTAGACTGTTATCACGGTTAATTTAGTTCATCATCTGTAAGAATCTAGAGCAGTGATTTTCAGTTGTCTGCAGTAATGGACCAGAGTGTTTCTACAGAAATGTCACAGACCAACACATGATCCTACTGTGCATAACTAGCCTGCAGCTTGGAGCACATGTGACTCATCACACAAGTTCAGTAAGACCCAAACTAGTCTATGCCCTATTCAAGGCAAGTTCATTGATGATGCACTTGGATGTTGTAGCAATCTCAAATTGCTCTAAAGTTTCTAAATCCTTACTTTTTCCACTTGTTTTCTTGTCTTTTCATGGGCGTGGTACTCACGAAAAGCTCATGGATCGTCGCTGGTCCCTAGATATGAGTCGATCTAGTCATATGTCTACCTTATACATTTCTGACCCACTCCATTGTTATTTGATAGCCAGCAGGAGGTTTGGGCAACCACTGAATGGGATCACTCCCATTTGAGAGCATTCCTCCCAAAGTTGTTTTATTTGATCTTGGGGCACATGGATGGAGTTGGTGGCTAGTTACCTATAGTCTTTACTAGGCTTAGCTCTGTGACATCCCAGCCCGTTTTGCTACATAGCTTCAGGTCAATGTCCTTTTTCTGCCTGTCAGAGGATACTGTTCTAAGTTTCTAGCATATTGAAGGGGAGTAGTAGAATAAGTATCATTGTAGACTAAGACACAGTTGTTATTTAAAGCAGCACACTTAGAAATGAATTTCAGGGGTGACTTGGGCTCAGGTCATGATCTCACAGTTTGTGAGCACGAGCCATGCTGACAGCTCAGAGTCCGGAGCCTGGTTCAGTTTCTGTGTGTCCCTCTCTCTCTGCCCTCCTCTCTCTCTCTCTCTCTCTCTCTCTCTCTCTCTCTCTCTCTCAAAAATGCATTTAAAAAATTAAAAAAAACAAAAGAAATGGATTGCAGATCCATGATAATAATGAAGATAACAGCAACATAGTGTGAGCCTCAGACCAGTAAGGGACCAGTAGATTTGGTGTTAGAGTGTCACTTTGGTTCTAGAGGGCTCCATTGTGCCTAGATCCTATGTACCTTATGGAGGTTTTTCATGCTTCTCTGCCAGAGTGCTGTTCTCCCTAAAGGCTTTTAAGATAATGACTAGCTGGCATGGTGGTGACCCCTGAAGTGGGACACTGCATTCTTCTCTGTTGGTGGGCTGGTGGGGTCCTCTCCAGCCACCAGAACTCCCACTGCATCCTTTTATACTGTCCTTTTCTGTATACTTTGCTCGGTGTCCATTTCAAATGAAAATGCCTTCTCTATGGGGAGAGAGAGAAATCACTTTTGCAAGATGACTGTCATCATGGCTTCTGAGAAGTGCTCAGTGAAATTGGTCTGGGGTCATAAGTACACAGAATGAAGATGAAAAAACTTGTTCTGATTTTGGTGTGTTTAAGTGGTGAATAGGCTAACTCCTGGCAGATGTTCTGTGCCTTTCTAAAGTCTTTTAATTGTTGGCTGTATTTGATAGGAACTTTTTAAAAATGAGAGTGACATTTCCAGTTGGTAGTAAAAAGGAAGAAGGAAAGAATTTCATTTATAATAAACCGAAGGCATTTGTGCTGGTAGAAGTCTCTTTTGTGCAATATATTTACTTCCCTGTATTCAGATTATGAAGAGAAAGGTAGAATGGTATAAATAGTCTTGAGCTAAAAAACATAAAATTAAAATTCAGTTGGAATATAGATTGAGAAATTATTAGAGATCTTTTTTTCAATAAAAACTAAATATATAGTAAGAATGAAAGGAAAATTCATTCATTTTGGAAATACTTGTTATTTAAACCCTTGAGTGTTTTTTTGCTGCTTCCAAGGGCTTTACTTTTATGAGTTTTATCCTTGTAAAAGGATAGCTTCTTTTTTACTCGCTTTTAATGAGATTGTCATCAGCTCTTTTCCTCCCTATTCCTGCGTCCTTCAGCTTTAGTCAGGGAATTTTTTTGCCAGTCTCTAAGGCAAAGAAAGGAGTAAATGAACATTTTTTTAAGAAGCACTTTGCACTTTGTGTATCTCTAAAATATAAGTATGCTTCACTCTTTTAATGGTGTTTTTTCCTCAGTAGCTTTTTCTCTTGTATATTTTAGCTCATTTATGTTAATATAGTCAATTCCTAGTTTCCTTTTTTTGTCAGCTGAGAATAACAAGACACAGACATTAGGTATTTGTCAATTCTAGAACAAAAAATTCATAGTATCAAATCCTAGCTCAGACGTTACAGAATATAACACTCAGAGAGAGAGAGATAGTGCAGGTGTGTGTGAGAACATGCACATGTACACATGAGAAAGTTTTGAAAGATAATTATGCTAGATATAAGATTCTTGGTTGATAGTTTTTTCTTTCTTTCAGTACTTTGAATATATTATCCTACAGCCTTGTGCCCTCCATCGTTTCTGATAGGAAGTCAGCTGTATGATAGTATCTGACTCTTGCTACCAGTGAGCTGGGGTGAGGGCAGTGGGGACCCAGTATTCTTGACCAGTCATGCTGGGGTAGAGTCTCTACAAGTAGGAGCTGGGGAGAAGAAGGAATTCCCCAATCTCAGCAGAGCTTACCTGGGAATAGAGCTCCTATAACACAGAGCTGGAGGGGATGAGACATTCTGGTGGCCTGCACCTTCTGAGCAGAAACCTTGGCCTTAGACTGAGAACTAGGGAGAGAGGGAAAACACTATCCTCTTGGTTACACCTGCCCAGAGTTGATATCCAGTCACACCAGACTGGGAGAGAGGTGTGAAAGGGAAGTAGGTCATGGTTCAGATGTCACACACTTGCTGTTCTTACCAAGGTTTAGTAGATTTTCTTGAATAAATATTTCTCCATTTGTTATATGCCATTAGAACAATTTCCAGAAACTTTAAAAGTTTTGTTTTGTTTTTATAGATTTTACCAGTTTTGTTTGTTTCACTGGAGAGAGGGTCTGCTGGTCTCCTCATTTTGCCATTTTGGAAATGACCCCTACCCCCCAAAGGGAGTTAGTTTTCACTCCCAAAGCAAAAGTTCTGGGAGCCAAAAAAAATTTAACCAAGACTATACAATAAGTAGGGTGTTGCTAAGAACTTAGTGCTACTAAACATAACACATATGGTCTTTAATCACCCATGTACGACATGTGCACTTCAATGATTTGACATAAAATATAGTTTTATAATGCTCCAACTTTCAAGCTTAACTATCACAGGTGATACCTGTGGAAGATTGCATGAAGGATATGCAATTTACTGGATATATTGTTTGCTGAAACCCTCCACTTTTTTTGGGATCTGGCTCCACCTCTCCCTGTCCCATTGAAGTCACCTCGTTATTGTATAAATGGCTTCCGATGCGGTGTGACTCTCTTCCTTGGCAACCATTGATTGGTCCAGCGCTGGGCACCCAATCCAAGTTGGGCCAGTCCACGTCCTTTCCTAGGAATTCTGGAATTGAACTTGATAAAAAAAGTTGTTTTTTCCAGTGAAGCTTTTGGGCATAAAACTTAGAGCTGTTAGCATCTGTGTTTCCCACCACGTTTCCAGAAAAGTGGAGGGTGCTGGTCTGTGGAGGAGGCTAGTCTATATATAGAGAGAAGAATGGAGCACATGTTCAGATCTTGACACTAGGTGTTTTTCGGAGGCCCAATCATATTGTTGCCCATTGGTGCCTCGGATCACCTCAGTACCCTTAATATAAATTTCTTTTTTTAAAGGTGGCTCCAGTTGGGTTTTGCTACTAGTAATCAGGAATCTATGAAGTTTATTCTTCCTTTTGAGCAACATGTCCCAAAGTATGTTCCTCAGAACTTATCCTTTGGTTAATTTATTTTTACTTTTATTTGTTTATTTAAAAAATAAATGTTTATTCATTTTTGACAGAGAGAAAGATTGTGAATGGGGGTCAGGGAGGGGAAAGAGAGAGGGGGACAGACGATCCAAAGCGGGCTCTTCACTGACAGCAGCAAGCCTGATGAGGGGCTCGAACTCAAGAACGGTGAGATCATGACCTGAGCTGAAGTTGGATGCTCAAGTGACTGAGCCACCCAGGTGCCCTGGTTAATTTCTTTTTAAAAAAGAGGATGAGGTTCTTAATCTTTATCCCCCATCGAGATTCACAGGTGCATGTTAGCACAGTACTGTAAGTTTCTGAAAACTTACTTGGTTTTCTGTTTGCTTTTATGTACTTTTTACTAGTATATATATTGATTTAGTTTGCATATGTGTATAAATATGACATAAAAGTTACAGTCTTAGCCATTTTCAAGTGTACAGTATAATAATGTTAACTATACATACCTTGTTGTGCAACAGATCTCTAGGACTTTTCATCTTGTGAAATGAAACTCTATACCTATTAAATAACCAACTCCCCTTAATCTTATGTATATTTTTGCTTAAAGCACATCAATCCTATTTGGAATGAGACTAAATATAAAAGAATGACTGAGATGAAATGGTTTAGAGTAGTATTTTTTAAGTGAGATATATGTCAGTATGGAGATTAATTATAATACCACTGAAAATGTGTATGGCTGTGAATCAGAAATAAAGTAGGAAATGTGTCAGAAAACTTTTGCCTTTTAAATATATATCTAGGGTGCCTGGGTGGCTCAGTCGGTTAAGCAGCTGACTTCAGCTCAGGTCATGATCTCATGGTCCGTGTGTTCGAGCCCCGTGTCAGGCTCTGTGCTGACAGCTCAGAGCCTGGAGTCTGTTTCAGATTCTGTGTCTCCCTCTCTCTAACCCTCCCCCATTCATGCTCTGCCTCTCTCTGTCTCAAAAATAAATAAATGTTAAATATATATCTAAAAGCATTACTAAGTGTAGGAAACTTTATCTTTCTTTTTGTTGCATAGGTTTTGTGAGGTTTCTAGAAGGCTATTATATTGTATTAATAACTAAAAGGAGGAAGATGGCAGATATTGGAGGTCATGCAATATATAAGGTTGAAGATACAAATATGATCTATATACCCAACGATTCTGTACGAATTACTCATCCTGATGAAGCCCGGTATGTAGCAGTGGTAACTACTGTTTGTTGTTGTTGTTGTTGTTTTTAAATGTGGTAGACCAACTAGGAAACAAAATACAGTCAAAATATTATAGGTATTATGTTAAAGATGCAGAATACTAGCTCAGAATTCTGTAGTTTTGTCCAAGGTCTATTATTAACCTCTGTTACAACAGTTGAATCAGGTGAGGATCAACAACAGCTACTAAAAGCATTAGGTGAAATGTTATTGAGGGAAGAATATTCACTCAGTCTCAACATCGACTCCATGAATCTTTTTATTTACAAAGAAAAAAAAAAAGAATGGCAAACATACTTAACCCAAATGTTCAAACTTAGCATCATGTGACAAAACTGACATTATCTGCCTCTCGGTGTGAAGCAATGGGAAGGACACAGATTACCTGCATAGTTTTCTTGCTAAAAATATATATGTATTTGTTTTTTTATGCTGTGCTACCATGATGAGTGTGGTTCCTGTCTGTTGCCATATGACATTGTTACAGTGTTATTAACTACATTCCCTGTGCTGTACTTTTCATCCCTGTGATTTCTTTCACAACTGGGAGTTTATACCCCTTAATCCTCTTCACCTATTTCACCCATCCTCCAATCCAACCCCCTCCCCTCTGGCAATATTTAACTTGAATCTGAGCATGAGGAAATAATCAGACAAACCCATCTTGTGGGACATTCTGTAAGACAACTGGCCTGAACTCTTTAAAGATGACAGTGTCATCAAAGACCAAAAAAGCCAGGGGACTGTTCTAGATTTTAGAACAGGCATGACAACCAGATGCAGCACATGAATATCTGTTGGATCCTGGATTAAAACGTATGTGTGCGTACACAGGTGTGTGCATTTACACACAGAGCTGCAAAGAACTTCATGTGCACAGTTTGTACATGGATTATGTACTAGGAGGTACTGAATCAATATTAAATTTTAAGTGTAAAAATGATATTCTTTTTTTTTTTAATTTTTTTAATGTTTATTTTTGAGACAGAACATGAATGGGGGAGGGTCAGAGAGAGGGAGACACAGAATCTGAAACAGGCTCCAGGCTCTGAGCTGTCAGCACAGAGCCCGACGCGGGGCTCGAACTCACAGACTGCGAGATCATGACCTGAGCCAAAGTCGGCCGCTTAACCGACTGAGCCACCCAGGCGCCCCATGATATTCTTTTTTAGGAGATTATCTTTGTTCATAATAGATATATACTAAAATATTTAGGAGTGAAGTGTCATCATGCCTGCTACTTACTGAAAATGCTTTAGGAAAATAAAACATACTTGTGTATTTAAAAAGAGGGTATGTGCATGTGTGTGTTTAAGGAGAGAGATCTAACAGTGAATTCAAACGAAGGACATAATGGGATTTATTGTACTATTTTTCCTTCCAATTTTTCTGTAGATTTGAAATCTTTAAAAAGTTTTGGAGGGAAATTAGAGCCTTGGGAGCCTTGGGAATGTGGGAAAAGGCTATTAATAAGTTGATAGAGAAAAGAATAGAATTGATTTAATACATAAATTTATTTATTATGAACATAATAAAGGTTAAAATGGAACAAAGTTAGGCATGCTTATTTGTTTTTAAGTTTAAATTTTAGTTACACTCTATACTTTTATAGTGTTGTTCTAGATACATGAGCCAAAATTTAAAGGTGGTGTGGCTCTCTTGCTTAAGAACCTCTTAGTGGATTTTGGACTCTCATGATTCTGTCTTTGATGATATATGGAAATGGAGTTGTCAAAAAATAATTGGTTTCAGATTATTTACTTATTCAGATTAAATAAGAATTTAACAAAGTAGTCCTTTGTCTTATACTAACTGAAAAAAATTATATCCTGCATATCTTACAGGAAGACATAGTATGTTGATTAAAAGTAAATTAGGTACTCCCAAAAGAAAACAAAAACACTGACTCAAAAAGATACATGCAACCCTATGTTTATTGCAACATTATCTACAGTAGCCAAGATGTGGAAGCAACTCAAGTATCCATCCATAAATGAATGGATAAATAAGATGTGGTGCATATGCGTGTACACACACACACACACATACACACACACACCCACCCACCATGGAATATTACTCAGCCATAAAGAGAATGAGCTCTTGTGATTCGTGACAACATGGGTAGACCTAGAAGGTGTTACGCTAAGTAAAATAAGTCAGACAGAGAAAGATGAATGCCATGTGATCTCATTTATATGTGGAATCTGAAAAACAATACAAATAACAAACCAAAACCAGAAACAGACTCATGAATACAGAACAAATTGGTGGTTGCCATAGGAGCAGAGGTGGGAGGATGGGTGAAATAGGTGAAGGGGATTAAGAAGTACAAGCTTCCAGTTATAAATAAGTCATGAAGATGAAAAGTACAGCATGGGGAATATAGTCAATAATATTGTAATAATGTTGTATCATGACAGATGGTAAGTACACTTACCATAGTGAACATTGAGTAATGTACAGAATTGTCAAATCACCATGTTGTACACCTGAAACCAATATAACATTTTTGTCAACTATACTTCAGTAATAATTTTTTTTTTTTTAAAGTGAATCAGACCAGCACATGTGAATGTAAGGGATGAGAAAAAGTTGAAGAGGTTATTACTTATAAACCTCATCTTTATGATTCTTTAGCCAGGAATGGTAAAACAAATTATGTTGTTCTATATAGTGATTTGACTGTCTTTAAAGAGTGAAATTACTGGGCCACCTGGGTGGCTCAGTCGGTTAAGTGTCTGACTTTGGCTCAGGGCACGATCTAGCAGTTTGTGAATTCAAGCCCCGCGTTAAGCTCTGTGCTGACAGCTCAGAGCCTGGAGCCTGCTTCAGATTCTGTCTCTCTCTCTCTCTCTCTCTCTGCCCCTCCCCAGCTCACACTCTGTCTCTCTCAAAAATAAATAAATTTTAAAAATAATTAAAAAATTAAAAAATTATTTATTAAAATAAAGAGTGAAATTACTGTAGGATTAATACTGTGTAGCAGTGGACATTATCCAGAGTAAGATACAATTATATTAATAGTTTGTTATAGGTAGGCTGAAGTAGTATTACTAGATAGGTAAAACTTGTAACGTATTTATAAAACTATCTAATGCAATAAGTCACTTAAGTTAAAAGATTTGGTGGTGTGCCTGGCTGGCTCAGTTGGAAGAGCATGCAAGTCTTGATCTTTGAGTCATGAGTTTGAGCCCCATATTGGGTGCAGAGATTACTAAAAAGTAAATAAATAAACTTAAAAAAAGGATTGGTAAAATATTAGGAAATACAAATACAGTACAACTCAACATTTTATATAAAATGAGAAGTAGAGGTTATCCCTGCAATGCATGGTTGTATCAGCACTAGAAAATTTTGCTGGAGCACTTCACTACATTAAAATATTTTGGGGAAACCTATGATCATCTTAATATTTGTAGAAAATATGCTTAACAAACTCAGTACCCGTTTGTGATCAAAAGTCTTTAAAAAGTTGAAAGAATTTGAAAAAATGTTAACATGTATTAATCCTGAGGGATAGATATGCAGATATTTTATTCTGTACGTTTGGGTTTTTTTTGTTGTTGTTTTTTTTTTTTTTTTTGTAGTTGAAAAACTTTACAACTTAAAATCATGGTGACCCACGAACATTTTTGCTTGTTTTCATTACTCTCCTCTCTCCAACCTCAAAGCATTTGCAAAGCATTTGCAAAGCACATAATTGTAAAAACAAGAACAGTATTTACTTCTGTCCTGCCCTGAGTCTAAGTGCCCCACATCTCAGTACATGACTCTCCCTCTCTGGCACAATCAGGGATGAGGAAGTGGTCAAACTATAAAGTTAAGGGTCTCTGAAGGGACAATCAACAGACTTAGAAATTGCTTCAGATGAAATCCCTACTGCAGCTATGGATTGAATTCCCCAGGGTTTTTAAAAACTATTTTATTTTTAAGTAATCTCTGCACCCATCATGGGACTTGAACTGACAGCCCCGAGATCAAGAGTTGCATGCTCTACCAGCTGAGCCAGCCAGGTGGCCCCTGAATTCCTCAGTTGTAATGAGAGTATTCACAAATATAAATGTATATGTGAGTATAATTAAGCTACGCAAAATAATAGTATTAAGTGAATGTAATATGCTTTTCTTTTTAGGTATCTACGAATCTTTCAAAATGTGGACCTATCTAGCAATTTTTACTTTAGGTAAGTCTAAACTTAGTTTTTCTCTTGTTAGTCACTTAAATGTTTATATTATTTTCCAGGAAGTAAAAACAAAATCAGAGGACACAATAGTACTTCCTTTATTTTTTTTATTGGCCAAATTATTTCATCTAAAAGCATAAAGGTACAGGTATTTCTTCCCTTTAAAAATCTTATATAATTGAATGGGCAAATTAAAGGGCAACTGTTCTCACTATAAACATCCTCTTTGTTTTAGGTGGAATTTTAATGAAATATTCTTATTTTGTAATTTTTAATTACAAAGTGAAATTTGCATTCAGTTTCTAATACAGAGTTGTAACCATTTCACAGTTCAATGTTTAGTTAACCATCTAGCAAAATTAAAAACAAATTCAGGATAGGAAGAACTATTGCAATACCAAGATACTCCTAATGCCATTGTAAATTAATAGTTTCCCTGAAGAGGAATGTAGCATTAAGTATTTGTGAAAATATATCCTAAGAAAATAAATTAGGAGAGAAAATATTAATTCCTGTTTATAAAGGGACACTTGTAGCTTCTCTGTTTATGATAGCCCCAAGCGAGCAAGCCAGCCAATGCAGGGACAACCCAAATACCAATAGTTGAATGACAGGCAAGTAAATTTTAACAGAACATTGTGATAGAGTATTATACCACCACTGATGTGGCCAATATGTAGGCCTAGGAGATACAGGGTTATTGTGCTAAGTGGAAAATTCTTTCAGCTGTAATATCCAAACTAAAAAGGTAGAACACAAAATAGCATGCACCAAAAAGGACACGAGTGCTAAGGACTAAATGAGGGCCTAGAGTGTTGTAACTCTTGATGCCATGCACTGATGCATTATTTTAAATTTATTAAAAAAATTTTTTAACATTAGCCACTTTTTTTTGTTTATTTATTTATTTTGAGAAAGAGAGCACATGTAAGTGTGAGCCAGGGGAGGGGCAGAGAGAGAGGGAGAGTGAGAATCTCAAGCAGGCTCAGTGCTATCAGCACAGAGCCCACGTGGGGCTGGATCTCACAAACCGTGAGATCATGACCTGAGCTGAGATCAAGAGTCGGACGCTTAACTGAGCCACCCCAGCGCCCCTTTAAATTGTTTATACAGTTAACCACTTGTTTACCTATGAAATAAAGAAAAACGTGTTTACTATATAGAATGGGTTATGTCTTCATAAAACTGAAGGGAGTTCATTATTTTAACAGTAGTATATATTGAAGGGCTCCTAAAGAAAAAACTTTCACTTCCTCAAATGTTTATTGAATGTATATTTCCATTGTGTTTATCTCAGTCATCTGCTTCTCTGTCTTTGTTGCTTAATTTTATGTTTATAGCATCTGCAAGTTATCACTGCAACTTGGTGGTGCTGTTAGAAATGGTCCTCTGCTCCATGATTTCAACTTCGTTTGTATCCTGACACTGAGCTCTCTGGCCAAGTCATCCCATAAGTAAAATATGTTGGTTGAGGTTTTTGTGTCTGATAAGTAAGCTTCAAAAAGCATATACTACATTCTTAAGATTCGGCTGGAATAAAGCAGTTACTCTAACTAGGAAAAAATTGATTTTTAAAAGTCGAAAATCAACATCCCTCCCCCCCAACCCCTGCGCGTATTGAGGTATTACTGACATATATCATCTATAAATTTAAGGTGTACAACGTGATGTTTAGATACACATAAATAGTATGACATAATCACCACAATAAGGTTAGTCAACACCTCCATCCCCTCACATAATTATGAGGGTGTGTGTGTGTGTGTGTGTTGAAAACATTCCAGATGTGCTCTTAACAAATTTGAGGTTGTAATTCATTACTGTTAATTACAGTTGCCATGCTATGCATTAGATGCCCAGATCTTTTTTGTCTTATAGCTGGGAGTTTGTACCGTGTGACGAGTACACAGCTTATTTGGCTTTTTTAGATTCTGCATAGAAGTGAGAACATATGGAAATAATCAGACTTATTTCACTTAGTATACTGCCCTCAAGTTCCATCTATGTTGTTGCAAATAGCAGGATTTCTGTCTTTTATTTTTATGGTTGAATGATATCTGTGTGTGTACGTGCACCATATCCTTTTTATCCATTTACCTATTTCTGGACTCTTAGGATGTTTCCATGTTTTGGCTATCATGAATAATGCTTCAGTCAACATTGGTATGCAGATATCTCTTAAGATGATGATTTAATTTCTTTTGGCTATATACTCATAAGTGGGAATACTGGATCATATGGCAGTTCTATTTTTTTATTTTGAGAGACAGAGAGTGCGAGCAGAGGAGGGGCAGAGAGAGAGGGAGAGAGAGAATCCCAAGCAGGCTCTGTGCTGTCAGTGCAGAGCCTGATGCAGGGCTCGAACTCACAGACCTTGAGATCATGACCTGAGCTGAAATCGAGTCAGCTGCTCAACCAACTGAGCTACTCAGTCATCCCTGGTAGTTCTATTTTTAGTTTTTTAAGGAACTTCCATACAGTTTCTACAGTGACTGAACCAATTTACATTCCCACCAGCAGTGCACAAGCGTTCTTTTTTCTCCATAGCTTAACCAACACTTGTCTCTTGTCTTTTTGATAATAGCCATTATAGCAGATATGAGTTGCAATCTCATTGTGTTTTTAATTTGCATCCCTGATGTGATGTTGAACATTTTTTCATGTGTCTGTAGGGCATTTTCTTTGGGAAAATGCCTATTCAGGTCCTTTGCCCATTATTTAATTAGATTGTTTGGTTTTCGTTTTGGTGATATGTTTTGTGTTTTTTTGTTTGGTTTTTTTTTTATTTTTTATTTTTTAATTTTTTGCTCTTCAGTTATATGAGTTCCGTATGTGCTTTGGATATTAACCCCTTACTAGATACATGGTTTGTAAATATTTTCTCCCATTACATAGGTTGCCTTATTATTTTGTTGATTTTTTTTCTGTGCAGAAGCTTTTTAGTTTGCTGTAGTCCCACTTATTTATTTTTGCTTTTGTTGCCTGTTGTTTTGGTGTCATATCCATAAAAGCTTTGCTAAAACTAATGTCAAAGAGCTTTTCCCCTTTGTCTTCTTCTAGTAAGTTTACAGTTTGGGGTCTTACATTTAAGTCTTTAATCCATCTTGAGTTACTTTTTGTGAGTGGTGTAAGACAAGAGTCCAACTTCATTGTTTGCATGTGGTTATCCAGTCTTCCGAGCACCATTTATTGAAGAGACTATCCTTTCTCCATGTGTCATCTTGGCTCTCTTGTCAAATAGTTGACTCTGTATGCATGGGTTTCTTTCTGGGCTTTCAGTTCTATTCCACTGATCTACATATGTGTCTATTTTTATGCCACGCTACTTTGAATGTTGTAGCTTTGTAAAAAAGTTTGAAATCTGAAAGTGTGATGCCTCCATCTTTGTTCTTTCTTTTTTTTTTTTTTATTTTTTTTTAGTGTTTATTTATTTTTGAGACAGAGAGAGACAGAGCATGAACAGGGGAGGGTCAGAGAGAGGGAGACACGGAATCCGAAACAGGCTTCAGGCTCTGAGCTGTCAGCACAGAGCCCGACGCGGGGCTCAAACTCACGGACCGCGAGATCCTCACCTGAGTCAAAGTCGGCCACCCAACCGACTGAGCCACCCAGGCGCCCCTCTTTGTTCTTTCGTAAGATTGCTTTGGCTATTGGTGGTCTTTTGTGGTTCCATACAAATTTTAGGATTGTTTGTTCTACCTCTGTGAAAAATGTCATTGGAATTTTGATATGGATCTGTGGATGACTTTGGGTAGTATGGACATTTGAACAATATTAATTCTGATCTATGAACATGGGGAAACTGTATCTTCAGTTTATTTCATCAGTGTCTTACAATTTTTAGTGTAAGATCTTTCTCCTCCTTGGTTAAATTTATTCCATCGTATTTTATCTTTTGATGCTATTGTAAATATGATTGAAAAACCAACTTCTTAATACAACTTTTATCCCTGAGATTAGATACTAGTAAAATTAATGGCTTCATCTAGCAAATGTAGTAAAATTGAATTTCACAAATGAAAAAATAAATTTCAATCAAATTATATGAATAAATTAAAGAAGAAATAATAATTGAAATAATTTGTGAGTCTTCAGACAAAATTGCAGCCATCTTTATGAATTTGGGTACACATGAATTCTAGATGACATTCTGTGCTAAAATATATAACTAGACATACTTTAAAAATTATTAATTATGTGAAATCAGAGTTGTAAAATGGGTTTCTTATGGCCTCAAAGCCAAATTTTATTTGCAAAGACTGTGATAACTTTTTGGATGAGCATTACTCTTCTAAAACAAATTTTATCATAATGGCTTGTATTTTCTTTTTAAAACATTTTTTTAATGTTTATTTATTTTTGAGATAGAGAGAGAATGGGGGAGGGACAGAGAGAGAGGGAGACACAGAATCCGAAGCAGCCTCCAGGCTTTAAGCTGTTAGCACAGAGCCTGATGTGGATCTTGAACTCACTAATCATGAGATCATGACCTGAACCGAAGCTGGATGCCTAACTGACGGAGCCACCCAGATGCCCCTGTATTATTTTCTTATTCCTGTTTTATTATGAAGTCAGTTATGGAACTGCCACTAAAAATTAATAGAATTACTTTTGTTCATAGGTAAACTAGAGTACAGACCATGCACTATTGCGTAGATACTGTAACATCTATACAACTCTATTCAGATACGTATGAGAGTGTGACCTCTTTGCACAAGGCTGTGACGTTATACTGATCTCACTGTAAAGCAAAAAATGCACATTGCAAGTCAGTGAATGTTGGTTTCTCGTATATTTCTAATTGTGCAAATGCCTAAGTCATGCAGTGATTTAAAAGTTTTTTTTTTTAATGTTTATTTTTGAGAGAGAAAGAGGGAGAGAGACAGAGCATGAGTAAAGGAGGGACAGAGAGAGAGGGAGACATAGAATTTGAAGCAGGCTCCAGGCTTTGAGCTGTCAGCACAGAGCCCAATGCGGGGCTCAAACTTACCTACTGTGAGATCATGACCTCAGCTGAAGTCAGATGCTCAACCAACTGAGCTACCCAGGTGCCCTAATTTTTAATTGAAGCATAGTAGACATACAATATTATATTAGTTTCAGGTGTACAACATAGTGAATTGGCAATTCTGCTTATTACTCAGTGTTCATCATGGTAAGTATAGTCATCATCTATCATCATACAACATCATTACAATATTATTGACTATATTCCCTATGCTGTGCTTTTCATCCCTGTGATTTACTTACTTTATAATTTTAAGCTTGTGCCCCTTAATCCCCTTTATCTCTTTTGCCCATCTTGCATTCTCGCCTCACTGGCAATGACCAGTTCTCTGCACTTATGAGTCTGTTTCTGTTTTTGTTTGTGTTGTTTTTTAGATTCCACATTTGAGTGAAATCATACAGTATTTCTCTTTATCTGTCTGACTTATATCACTTAGTGTAATGCCCTCTAAGTCCATCTTTGTTGTTGCAAATGGCAAGAGCTCATTCTTTTTTATTGTTTTCAGTGGACGCTTAGGTTGCCTCCATATTTATATATTGGCTATTGTAGATAATGCTGCAATAAACACAGGGAGCATATATCTTTTCAAATTAGTGTTTTTGTTTTCATTGGGTAAAACCCAGAAGTGGAATTACTGGCTTGAAAGTATTTCTGTTTTTAATTTTTTTAGGGATGCAGTGATTTTTAAATTTCCAGTTACATTCATGGTTTTATAGTGCTTGCTTGAATAGCATTGCTTCCAAGTAACAGAACAGGTGCTAATATAGTTGACAGTTTTTCATTCCATATAGGAGCCAAGACTGAAATATGTTTTGCTTTTATAATTCTTACTAAGTTTCAGTTATGTTCTTAGTTACAGCTATGATTTGTCCCACTCACTTCAATATAATCTCACTGTCTTGCGAATGCCCCTGGAGATGTTAAAGTCAGAAACAACCCAGACTCGCCAGGAGAGTTTCGACATCTTTGAAGATGAAGGATTAATTACACAGGGTGGAAGTGGTAGGTGGTTTTCAGCACATCTAACGCATGTTAATACGGCATCCGTGAAATGGCATCTCATGAAATTAACTCACATTTCCCTCATATTTCTCTATCCCTCATTGTTCTTTGTCCTTACATGAGGTTGTTCCAGATACATGAACTTGACCAGTTCATTTTTGGAGAGACCGTTAATCATGATGTGATTTCATTTGTGGGCCAGCCAGAAAATTGTGTGCTGACATTTCCTAGGAAATTTCCATGTACTTTTAATGGAATACATTTTAGGTCTAGACTTGTGGTGAAGTTTGAAAGGGGAATTGGTTTTTTTGAATATTGGGAAATACACCACTACTTTATTTTACTTCTTGGAGAGTTTTGGAAAAAACTCATCATGGGTTATCTGTTGTGTCCTTGACATTTGCTGCAGTATCTCTAATTCTCCTAACAACTCTGCTCAGTAGATATGATGCCACTTTTAAAGAAATAAATACTAAGTGGAAAACCTAGGTGTAGAGATTAAGATCACATGGCCAGTGTGCTGAGGAACCAGTACAGCATATCAAAAACTGTTCTTATTTTGATTGGTCCCAGCTTGACCCAAGAGTCAAGCAAGACAGGCCTTTTTATTTTATTATATTTTATTTTTATTTTTTTCAATATATGAAGTTTACTGTCAAATTGGTTTCCATACAACACCCAGTGCTCATCCCAAAAGATGCCCTCCTCACTACCCATCACCCACCCTCCCCTCCCTCCCACCCCCCATCAACCCTCAGTTTGTTCTCAGTTTTTAAGAGTCTCTTATGCTTTGGCTCTCTTCCACTCTAACCTCTTTTTTTTTTCTTTCTTTTTTTTCTTGTTTTCTTTTTTTCTTTTTTTTTTTCTTCTTCTCCCCCATGGGTTTCTGTTAAGTTTCTCAGGATCCACATAAGAGTGAAACCGTATGATATCAAGACAGGCCTTTTTATGTCAGGGCCACTGGAGGATCACTGCAGGACCACATGTGACTAGTCTAGGGTCACCCTGGAAATCCTAGACCAACTGGTCACACAGCAGAATTGGTACCTTTATCCCTGGATTTTTGGGTTGGTCTAGAACTCTAAAGCCAGGGGCCACAGCTAAAGTGAATATTGTGAAGGAATCGTTTCAGGCTTAAAGTAGTTTAGCTGAATTGGATTTACTATGGAGACATAGTAAGTCAATGGTGTCTTGGTCACCTTGCTCTGTGCAACTTAAATAATGGTGATGAAGATGTGGGTGGAGAGGTAGAATGTAATCTAAAGTTTCAGAAAGTTTGTCCTTGCAGGACACTCAAGAAGAGGCTGTGCCCTATTAACATTTTGCCAAAGGTTCTTCTTCACTCTAAGTAGACTTAGAGTGTTACTTAAACTGGATATCATCCCTGGCATTGCCCTTGACTATTATTTTTTTTTTTTTAATTTTTTTTTTTCAACGTTTATTCACCTTTGGGACAGAGAGAGACAGAGCATGAACGGGCGAGGGGCAGAGAGAGAGGGAGACACAGAATCGGAAACAGGCTCCAGGCTCCGAGCCATCAGCCCAGAGCCCGACGCGGGGCTCGAACTCACGGAGCGTGAGATCGTGACCTGGTTGAAGTCGGACGCCCAACCGACTGCGCCACCCAGGCGCCCCTACCCTTGACTATTATTAACCTATTAGATTGATTCTCTTATACTGAGGCCAAACTCAGTACACCCCACCTACCTCAGAACATCCAGACCACATAAATTTGCCCTGGTTCAGACTCCCAAATTGTAACCTATACTGCCAGACACAGGTGGAGGATAAGGCAATGTGTGCCTGAATATTTGTTTGCATCATTTCTTCTAAATACCATGCTTCATAATAGAAAAGCTAAAGTATTACTAAATTTGCACTGTCATCCTAAATATGAATTTGAATATTTGTTCTGGAATCCTAATTAAGGATTCCACTTAATTTTTTTATTCTCTAAAAGCCACTTAATTTTTTTATTCTCTCTAGAGCAGTTCTACTTGGCAGATATGAATAACATTGTGTATTAGGTTTTCATAGCTGCTATAACAAATTACCGCAAACTTAGTGGCTTGAAACTATACAAATGTACTATGTTACAGAAGTCAGAAGTTCCAAATAGGTATCAGTGGACTAAAATTAGGGTGTTGGCAGGGTTGTGTTCCTTTTTTGACACCCTGGAGAAAATCCATTTTCTTGCCATTTCCGTGTTCTAGAGGCTGCCCACATTCCTTGGTTTGGGGCCCCTTCCGTGTTCAAAGCCAACAATGGCCAGTGAGGTTTTTTTCCTACGTTACGTCACTCTGACATTCACATTCTTGCTTTCCTCTTTTCCTTACCATGACCCTGTGATCACATTGGGCTCGCCTAGATAATCCAAAATAATCTCCCCATTCTCAGGGTCATCTAATTAACAACCTGAATGCCATCTGAATTTCAATTTCTCCTTGTCATGTAACATAACATATTCACATGTTCTGGTGATTAGGACATACACATCTTTTGGTGGGTACACTATTCTCTTACCACAGAGGGGGAAGCTGATAGGAAACAGAGAGTAAGGGTAGAAGGTATGGGGTAGGTAGAAAACAAAAACAATAATACATTTTTTTAAAAGTCTCTACTCTGTCAGGCAGTGTATTAGTTACTTTGGGTATGTTAATTTAATCTGAACATATCTCTGAGGTGAGTAGTAGTATCATCATTTCACAGTTCAGAAATGTTTAAGCAACTCACCAGAGGTCACAGAGTCTGGTAAGTGGCAAAGACTGGACTCTAGTTCATGTGTGTACTATTCATGCTTTGCGTAAAGCATTGAAAGGGCAGAGAAGATTTAGTTTTTATGAATCAAACCAAGTGTATTTGCCGTAGTATATAAACAGTCTTAACATACCATGTTTTGAGAAGGAAAATAGCCTGCTACCCAGAATTTTTTAGTCTTTTAAGCCATTATCTTTTAACTATACTTATATCTTATGCTGTACTTTATGTAAGTTTTATAAAACTTGTTGGTGTTTAATAAATGTATCTGGATATGCTGAAATCATGTTTGATGAAATTAATTTCTTCACAAAGAAAAAACCTGATGTGATAATAGCTATATCACTTATGGAAATATCAGTAAGGCACCAGTCTGGTTCAAAGCACTTTATGTGTATTTCCAACTTATTTCATCTTTACAACAACCACATGACACAGGTACGATTGAGGAAGCAGAGGCATTGAGATAGTAAGTAACGCTCTTCGTCACACCTGTCATCCTGCTGATGAGAGGCAGAGCCAGTATTTGGACCCCGGCTGCCTAACCCCAGAGCAATGCTTCCAGCCAGCTTAAGTGCTGTCTCTTGGCCTTAGTCATGTATTTGTACATGTGTCCTTAATTTCCCTATTGTTTTCCTTTCTCTTAGGTTAAAAGCTCTCACAAATCAGAAAAATGTGTTTATTCTTTTACTTTATACAGAATCAGCACAGTTCTGTGCTGTTCTGAGTGATGACGTGAATTATAGCCACTGAAAATGGCAGTGCTATTAACCAGGCATTTTATTTTGAAGTTAAAAACTTAAGAACTCAAAAATGAGTGGAGCGTTGACCCATTTCCTATCTTTCTGATACCAAGTTTTATTTTTCAGGAGTATTTGGGATCTGCAGTGAGCCTTATATGAAGTATGTGTGGAACGGTGAACTTCTGGATATAATTAAGAATACTGTGCATCGTGACTGGCTGTTGTATATTATTCATGGGTTCTGTGGACAGTCAAGTATCCTTTTTCAAAAAAACTAAGATATATATTATTAAACTTATGCTGTGTCAATTTTGTAGGAAACCATATATGAATTATAAGATTATATTTACCATTCTGTGCATCCAGCAGGAAAACTTGCCCATGATACCAAGTAGTGGAAATACAGAGGAATGCAGTCCATTTGAACAGGTCTATTTTGTACACAAAAGGATAAACAACAGGGAAGAAAATGCTGCGTGCCCAGTAAGGGATATAGGCAGTAAGTATCATTCTTATTTGAGAGGAGGAGCAGAATCACTGACAGGTGGGGAGGATGGGGCAGGTTTGGCCTGGGCTCTAAACAAAAGTCAGACCTTAGCAGTAAGCAGGGAGTGAGCACATAGGTGCCGGGGAAGCATCATGAACGTAGGGGTAGAGAAGGTCATGGGAGTAGTTTCATTCTGCATGTAAAATCCCTGGGAGGTACAATGTCGTGGGTAGTGGGGAGTCAGATTGCTGGTCACCAGACTGCTTTGGTGGTCTGACTAAGCATTTTGGGTTTGGTGCCTGAATTTTGGAAAGTTTTTTCAAGAGGGTAATGTAGATGGGAGTACTTAGGAGGGTTGAGTTGACATCTGTTTTCAAGCTGGATTAAGAAAAATGAGACTAGAACAGGGACATGAGTTAGGAAGAGATTGCAGTGGTTCAGGCATAATGTCCTAAAAGCCTGGATTGGGAAGGGACGTAACAGATTAAGTAGGTTGAACCTTGGGTTAAGCCGATTTCGAGTTTAATGTTACAAATATTTTTTTTCCTTTTCCTTAATTTCTAGCTATGGTTGAAACCTTTCAAGAAAGTGCTATCATGCTATGAGGTTTAGAAAGGCAGTGTATACTTTCTAGGAGTGGTATTTAGGTTTTTCCTGTCCCTTTTCGATATCATGTAGGGCATTTGTATACTTAGCTTATTTTCCAGTTGACATTCTTGTGCCTTGGTTTTTTTTTTTTTTAACACCTAGAGTAAAAACTTTAAAGGACTTTTTTGTTTTGAGACCATTAAGTGGGTAAATGTAATTAATTAATATTCCTTCTTGCACCAGAGCATTCGGGAGGAGTGGGATCCAGGGGTATATCTAGAGAGGTTAGCCTTAAAGGCAGCCGGTGGTGCCTTCTTGATGGCAAATGAGGGAAGAAGGGAGGCTAGCTGAGGACATAGAGGAGGTTTGAAATGGGAATGAGTGAGATATATGTGCGACACTTGAAATCATTACTTTATAATCATTTTCAAGCAGTGAGTAGTATTATCTGCTTGGTGTATTCACTGAATAATGAGATTTGGCTCCGAATTACTTTCTCTGTTTCCAAAAGTGAAATCTACCTGGAAAGAACACAAGGTTTTCACCACCAAGAGTGCAAAAAGGAATGTGCTACAGTTTCTAAAGGCATTTTATAAAAGGTAGTTCCAAACTTTTGTATTGCCAAGAGCTAACTCAGGGCCAGGCATATATTAAGCACAGTAAAAATGTTTGTTTTTAGAATAAGGAATAGCACCATGGATTATAATTTTAAAGCCCATTAGTTTAGATGATGAATCTAGTTTCCTAGTTATCAAGCATGTAATAAATTTTGGAAGTCTTTATAATAAAAGGAATTGCTATCTATTCAGCATTTGCCATAGGACAGGCACTGGTTTACACACATTGCCTAGCCTAGTCCTCCCAACCATCTAATAAAGTTAGTTACTTTGTTAGTACTCACACCACTTTACAGAAGATGGAACTGAGGCTCAGAAAGTTAAATAAGGTGACATAAGCTGTATAGAGGTTAAACAGTTCACAGTGTTTAGTTTTTGCAGTTAGGTAACAAATTTGGGTAGCATTTAGCATTAAGCATTTACTGTATTAAACTCATCCATCCCCTAAGTATCATACATTGCTTCATAGTTTAAACCCCCTGTTAAGTGAGATATGCTCTCTTTGAGAAGTATATGATCTCTGAAGACTAAGGAAGGATTAGTTGTACCTGTTGACATCCTTTAGCTGGCTGTAAGGTGAGACCAGGTCTTCCCTTGGCCACTAACCCTATACCTGATTACCGTTTCCTCTAGAATTCATGGAAACCACTCCTTAGGTAGGCCCGTTTTTGCTTTAATACCTGCATAACTTGGAGGAACCGTTAGACCCAATGCTATTCCATTCTTGGGTGGAGCTTTTTGGTTTTGTTTAACCTTCTGGACAAGATATGTTTAAATGCATATTGAAGGTATAATGATTCTCTTGGTTTGGTGTGACCGTTCGGTATGAATGCTCTGACAGCTTTAACTCGATTTCTAAGAGCTGTTGATCTATGGACGACCAGTCTATGTCACTCTAATAGCTAGAAGATCCAGTAAGTTTGCCGGGACCCGCTTTCTCAAGAGAGGCGCAAACTGTGAGGTAAGATGGAGAAGCAACAGTGCTGTTGACATTTTCACCTTTCACATCTGCTTTGCTTTCAGAGGAAGCAAAGTGGAATTCTAGAAGATGGCATTTGTTAGTTTGGGACATGATCAAGAGAATAATTAATTCCCCAGAGTGTCTGAAACTTGGGAAATATGACTAATATATACAGATGTTCTGGAAAATCAGCTATCTTAGAGCAAGTTATGCAATGCCTTGGGGAGTTGTGACAAGTCTAACGTTGTGGACAATGAGCCATTTCAGTAATATATGACAAAATGTAGTGCATATTTAGTGTAAAGACTAAAATAGCAAAGCTCCTCCATCTGAGGAATAAGTGGAGGGGAGCACTTGCTGGAAATGCATCTTTTTTTAAAATATTTTTTAATGTTTATTCATTTTTGAGAGAAAGACACACAGAGTGTGAGTGGGGGAGGAGCAGAGACAGAGGGAGACACAGAATCCGAGGCAGGCTCCAAGCTCTGAGCTGTCAGCACAGAGCCGGATATGGGGCCCGAGCCCACGAATTGGGAGATCATGACCTGAGCTGAAGTCCGCACTTAACTAACTGAGCCACCCAGGTGCCCCGGAAATGCCTCCCTGATGAGAAGACAAAGTAGAGCAAGGCATGGAAACCCTTAATTCCACTCCCTCTGCTTTAGGTTGGCTCAAGGGAGGCTCCTTATTCAGCTCACCCCTGGGAAATAACCGCAACAGAAATTCCGTCCTGCCATCAGTCATGTAATCCCCTCTGAGTGTTTCATCTCCATTTGCAGTAGACAGCTTGAGTCTTATGCAGATGTGTGTTTGAGTAGACAGATTGAGTGAGACACTGGGCTTTAATCCGGGGCAAAAATAACAACATTGTTCTTAAAATTATATCAACACAATGAAAATATGTATAACTGGTGCTCTAAGAAAAATTGGAATTTTGCTATGTCACTTACTTTTGAATATTTTAAGGATAATCAAACAGACATGAAAATTATTCTTCGTCATATCCTTATATACTTTTACAAGTAAAGCGAACTCAAGAACTTTTTTTTTTTTGCTTCATTTGAATCTCACGGTTTTGTCCCTTCCATTCCTCCCCGGTCTTCAGAACTAAAGTTTTATATTCTGCTAGTCTTGCCGACCTCCAGTATAATTTCATGTAATTGTTTTCCTTTTCTGTCCCTCTCTGCCGTTTATATCACTCAGGCTGTTCTCTGTCTGCTACTTGTATTATTAGCTATTTAATTTGATTTTTTCCTAGTCTATTCTCGGCTATTTTTAATTGCCTTTTTTGTTGTTGCATTTTAATAGCTTTCCTTTTCTAACGTGCACATTGAATATTGATCAACATTTACCTCTTTAAAATGTTCTAAAATGGGAATTATAATTTCATTATATACTTGGAAATTTGTTCCATTAAAAAATTCTGAGAACATAAAATATCTTTAAATGCCACCTTTCTTTCCAGGGCGATGTTGCAAATGAAGTGGAGACTGAACAAATACTCTGCGATGCTTCTGTGATGTCTTTTACTGCAGGGAGCTATTCTTCTTATGTACAAGTCAGAGGATCAGTGCCTTTATACTGGTCTCAGGACATTTCAACTATGATGCCTAAACCACCTATTACGTGTACGTGGAACAATCTTTTTAATAGTAACCCTTTTTTTAACCCACAGTTAGAGATGACGAACAGAAATCTCATAAATTCTTAGATTTTAACCAAGTTTCGCTACTGGAAGGTAGAGAATTTAGAAGAAGGACATCTGTTATTTTTATTCAATAACTTTATAAGTGTTCTTTAATTTTGGCTGCTAGTAAATTGTATTTTACTTCAGAAATGTAAGAATCAGTCAAATTCAATAAATACGTGTAGAAGGAGGGTCTGATAAGCTCAAGAGGAATTTGGGAAGTGAAACTACTATATTAATTGAATTAATTAATTGAAACTACTAGTTGTATTGCATTTTTTAAACATTAAAAAGCAAAACCAAGCCCTATGCGTCTTTATTCTTGCTTTATAATTTTTATTTTGGTATTTATTTATTCATCCTTTTTATCCCCCTCAGTGGATCAGGCAGATCCATTTGCACATGTGGCTGCCCTTCACTTTGACCAGATGCTTCAAAGGTTTGGCTCCCCCATCATCATCTTGAATTTAGTGAAGGTATGGCGTGCTCATCTGTTTGCTTGGGAAATTCAGTCACACCAGAAAAATCTTTCCTTGGCACAAAGGGGTTTAACAAGCTTGCTTTATAGACTTTCTGTGTTGTGACAGAGCACTGTGTCTGATTGTCGAAGGCATTGTCCTTTGGCCTTAGATTCTGTGTGGCCTCTTCCCTGGGTAACTGGGAGAATCAGCAGTATGTCTTCAAGGGAAGAGGGTGGTGCTGTCTGTCCGTCTTCTGAGTTTCCAGGACAGATTGGAGAAGGAAGCATGGAGATCACACAGTCACAGGCTAGTCTTGATACACCCCATTCCCTAGACAATCCAGAGATCTCTTAGGAAAGCTAATATGTAGTAGTAAGGTCTAAAGGCTAGATTCAGAAATTGGGGTACTACTGTGGTTCAAGAACCAGGTGGACAAAGTGGTGGCATGGCCTTACAGTTCTGTGCTTCCTTGTGAGAGGCGTCTGGGCAACATATCTCATGTATATAAGTAGGCACTCAGGTCATTAGCCTAGGATGGAGAGCAGGGAGAGCAGGTACTAAATTGTATCTATATCTGTTGCATTGAAAGAATCTCAGTCCACAGCCACGAAGACACCGAAAGCATGAAGAGCAAGGGTTTTGTTATGGTCACAGCAGTGGCCAACAACTTAGTAGTGTCTGAGGTTATTCTGAGAGGTTGATTAAGAAATGTTAATTTAATCGACACCAAGGAATCCTGTGTCCATTTAGTTCATTGTTTAACAAGTATTCTTGAAGGTTTCCTTTGTGCCAAGGCAGTCACAGAAACAATTCCTGCCTTCACAGAGCTAGTAGTCTAATGGAGGAGATGGTGAAGTAATGCAGAGGTACCGAGACAGGCTAAACGGTGCTATGAGAGCTTATAATGGGAGAGAAGTTTCCCCCAAGGAGATGATGAGTCAGCACAGACTGAAGGAAGAGGCATTAACTAGGCCAAGAAGAGAGGGAGTAATATTCAACTCAGAACAGCAGGTACCACGGCCCTGGGTCAGATATGGTACCTTTGAGGAAGGGAAGGCCTTATGGCAGGGGCCTTGCTGATGAGGACCAGAGAGCCTGTTGTGAGACGAGGCTGAAGAGATAGTTCTGGCCAGACCATGCAGAGCATTGTGGGGTGTGTTGATGAGTGTGGTCTTTATCCTGGGAGTGTAATGGAAAACCATTGAAGGTTTTGCATGATTGCGAGGATTGTGGTCTGATTTATATTTTGAAAAGGCCATCCTGACCTCAACAAAGGGAACATGTAGATTGGCACAAGGCTAAAGAATATGTTGGAAGACCACATAGGAGGTTATTCTAATTATCCAGAAAAGGGGTGACCCTGGTTTAAACCAGGGTGGTATGGTAGAGCTGAGGAGAAGTGTATGGAAGCAGTAGACTCGGTGATGGGCTAGATTTGAGATGAGGGAGAGGGAGATGTCAGGTTTGATCCCTGGGCTTCTGGTTACTCAGGTGGATGGATGGTGATGCCATTCACCAAAATAGGGAACGCTGGCTCTTCTTCATGGTATACAAAGTCCATACAATATGGTTAGAAGCTATGGCTAAATGGACATTCAGTCTATGATGTTTGAAGTAATTCTGTATTCAATATGCAGATTCAAAAATAACATCCGATACATGTGATTGTAAAGTGTGCTTACCCAGGTTTCTCAAATGTACATTTATTAACAAAATATATTTGTTAATATTTAAAGGTTAATCAGGGGACTTAAAAAATTGTACTCGTTCATCATTCCATTGTCCTAAAAATCCTGGCAATAATTAGAGATAAGTAGAAAATAGTTTGGAGATTAAGTCGCTATTTTGTGGAATAGAAAAAAGTTTTTTGTTGTTTTTGCCATTAGTTATTTTATTCGTACGTTAAAAGAAGATGTTTATTCAGTTCACTTGGGAAAAGTACTAATTTGTGATTAGAGTCAAAGAATGCATTTGTGTGTATTGAATGATACTGAAGGATATTCACTTTTTTTTTTAAGTTTATTTATTTATTTAGAGAGAGAAAAAGAGCGTGTGCACAGGGGAGGGGCAGAGAGAGAGAGGGGGAGAGAGAATCCCAAGCAGGCTCTGCACTGTCAGCACAGAACCCGATGTGGGGTTCAATCCCATGAACCCATGAGATCATGACCTGAGCTGAAATCAAGAGTCAGCCACCCAGGCACCCCAGGATGTTCACTCTTTATTCTGCCTCTGTATGAAGTCACTAAAATGTAATGCTTTTCTTGATTTCTTTTCTTTTTTATCCTGTGTTGTAATCCCACCCCTACCCCACCTTCCCTAGTTGTGGAAGTTTGAGATGCTGGTTGACATTTTGTAGCAACCCATGCACGGTCAGTACCACTACTGGGGAATCAATAGGAAGTCAACCTGGAATCAAGCACTGAACGTGTTTAGTCTGGGGGCCGTGGGTGACAGGCAGTGGGGGAGTCTCTGACTTCTTGAAGTGATACTTAAAATCACTTGCATTTGTGACGTTTTCATCTGGTTGTAATAGGACTCTGCGACCCAAAGGAGGTTGACTAAACCCACTACCACTAATCCATGATGGACAGACAAGGCATAAAGCAGATTCTTTTTACGTGGAGATGATCTAAGGTTGATTAAATAACCTTTTCTCTCCTCTCATAAAATATCAGATTTGATCAAAAAATTTCAGAAAGGTTTTGTTTCCCTAGTTGATTCAAAGTGCTTTTGAGAAAAATTCCAGATACATAATTTAATTTTCTCGGATGTAAACAGCTAAATACATGTTCATCCTAAACTGATTTAACACTGTTCTTAATCAACTCTTTTCTAATTCCTCCATTTGACTTATTCAGCTGTGCAGAAGAGATACCCTTTTTGTTTCCACAGTGGCTATCTAATTACATTCATGACAATTAATAACTAATACCATGACTGAAAACAGCAGAGACCCATTTTGATGCCAGCGATAGTGCCTCAACACCGTGTTGGTGTCACTGTCACTGAATTGTTTTTCTTTGTTTCTAAGTGAAGTCCTGATCAGGATAACAATAAAAATGGCTGATTGTTATTAATAGTTCTCACAGACAGTTACTCTGATAAGAGATTATTGTGTTTTATCTCTTTTAAACCTCACATTATCGCTGTAAGGGAGATACTATTGTTACCCCATTTTATAGATGAAGAAATAGAGGCCCTGGAAAGGTGAGAACCTTGCCCAAGGCTATGTGGCTAGCAGGCAGCTGAGCCAGCATTCCAGCCACAGAGCTGTACTGGAACACACTAGCCTCTCTCTTTTTTTAAAAAAAATTTTTAATGTTTATTTTTTAGGAGAGAGAGAGAGACAGAGATAGAGAGCAAGTGGGAGAAGGGCAGAGAGAGAGAGAGGGAGACACAGCATCTGAAGCAGGCTCCAGGCGCTGAGCTGTCAGCACAGAGCCTGACGTGGGGCTCGAACCCATGAACAGCGAGATCACGACCTGAGCTGAAGTCGGATGCTTAACCGATTGAGCCCCCCAGGCGCCCCTGCATTAATGTCTCTTAAATGAGAGGCATGTAATATGTAAGGAGGTACAGCAGGCAGGGAGGCAGAAGGTAAGATTTGGTCCATGAACACCTCTCAACTTCAGTTCAACCACAGTGTTGAAAGGGGAGAAAGTGCCTCGCTTGTCTACCTCACACGGTGTTTAAGAGTCAAATTTGGAAACACATGTAGGCTGCAAAACAGTCTCAGCCAGTTTAGAGATTATCCATCCAGACCTAGTGGATTTCTGTCTTGTCCTTAGCGGGCTGGTGTTCAGGGTTTTGTTCTTTTGGTCCTTGGGGAGTTCTTTTCTGACAGAGTGGGGTGTGGAGGGTGGAGACGAGGCCTGGGAGGGTGAACCGAGCTTCTTGAAGCTGCAGGAGGTTATTAAAAAGAAATCTCATCTCCTTGAATTTTTGAAGCTAATTATCTGTTGACTTCAATGAAGTATTTATTTCTTTGAATTTATATTATTTTTATTTTAGGCTTTTTTTTTATCCAGTATATTTAAGACTTAGGCTTCTTGCCTTAGCTGAAAAGTAAAAATGTTGAAAGTCTCTTCCTCTGACTTAAGGTAACTAGAACCCTGAAAATGTTTCATTTTTGATAAAGGAACGAGAGAAAAGAAAGCATGAGAGAATTCTGAGTGAAGAACTTGTAGCTGCTGTGACGTACCTCAACCAGTTTTTGCCTCCTGAGCACACCATTATTTATATTCCTTGGGATATGGCCAAGTACACCAAGAGGTGAGTAGATGTCCATATGTTTGGTTCTGATATTTTCCTTTTCTTGTGACATAAAGTAGCCGGAAGCTGCTCTCCATGGTAAAGTAAACGTTCTCTTTTAATTTCCTTCATGAACCCACTGAGGGGCTGTTTTGGTGCTGATGTATAATTTGAGTGCTTAAATTAATTGACCAAACTCTTTTCTTTGCCCACCACCGATACCACCTGCACATTCTCTTTTAAGTAACTAGTCACTTCAGGACATCTCTGCTCCATGCTTTCCCTTACAGCCATTAGTTTCGCTGTGCCCTGTTTCATCTTGTCCCCATTTGGTCACCTTCTCAGATACCACTTTTGGCAGATCTGGCTTGTGGATGAACCTGTAGTGACTCCTGACTGTTCATAGGCAATCCAAACTCTTAGTGTAGTGTTAAAGCCCCATTCCAGAATGTAGTAACTTTTTCTTTATACCCGGGCTGTTCTCTTCCTAGAAGATGAAACTGCATGCCCAGTCTCCAGCGTGGCAGCCAGGGTCCCATTCCTGAGCCTTTTCTTCTGTGGTTTGACCCCCACCTCCCTGGGGTGCATTCCTACCTCTCCTTTACCTGTCAAGGACCTGACTCAAAACTCTGGTCATCCAAGGAACTTTCTTTCCTTAACCTTACATTGTCCTTTTACTCATTTACTAGGCGTTCATATTAACACTAAGTTCATTCTGAGGTGTTGTTCATTTTTTTAATGTTACCGTATTATTTTGTACTTTAATTCATTGTACTTTTTTCTAACTCATTTCGTGTGGTTAGATACCCATGCACGCACACACACACACACACACACATACGCACACATTTTCCTAGAGTCTAAGACTGATCACAGGTTGGCACCATTCATATTTATTTTCCAGTGTTTTCTTCCCCTGCCACCCGCACTGTGCATTGTATTCTGCTCACATTTTATGAATGCGTATTGACTTGACTGATTTGACTCTTAAGTAGTGAAAGGCTTTGGGAGAAGCTCTCCTGGGGATGTAATGTGCCAAGATTAAGGCTTGCCAAGAGTTGATACATGCCCTTCATGTCTCTTGCACCAAATCTTGCTAGTTATTGAACACACATTATATTGCAGAAATTAATTGTTACAATGTTCCTGTTGAATGCAAACCGGACATTTTAAAACTTAAATCCCAGGATCCACATAAGAGTGAAAACATATGGTATCTGCCTTTCTCTTTATGACTTACTTCACGTAGCACAACACTCTCCAGATCCATCCACGTTGCTACAAAAGGCCATATTTCATTCTTTCTCATTGCCAAGTAGTATTCCATTGTGTATATAAACCACAATTTCTTTATCCATTCATCAGTTGACAGAAGACCATGGGAGAGGGGAAGAAAAAAAAAAGTTAGAGAGGGAGGGAGCCAAACCATAAGAGACTCTTAAAAACTGAGAACAAACTGAGGGTTGATGGGGGGGTGGGAGGGAGGGGAGCGTGGGTGATGGGTATTGAGGAGGGCACCTGTTGGGATGAGCACTGGGTGTTGTATGGAAACCAATTTGACAATAAATTTTATATTTAAAAAAAACCTTAAATCCCTGTCATTACTGTAGACTTTATTTGCTTCTGATGTAAAGATAAGTATACATTAGACCTGTCTCTTCTCACTTTTCTCATTCTTCCTTCTCTCCTCAGCAAGCTGTGTAATGTTCTTGATCGACTGAATGTGATTGCAGAAAGTGTGGTGAAGAAAACTGGGTTCTTTGTAAACCGCCCTGATTCTTACTGTAGCATTTTGCGGCCAGATGAAAAGTATGTATGGTGTAAAAACTTAAATCAAGAATTTTGCTCTTGTGGATAAAAATATTGTAAATATGAGCAGTTTGTATTACTTGAAAGATGGATGAATTTATTTCTTTGGGGAGACAAGACAAGCTGCTCATGTGATTGTGGAATGAACTTTCACTATCGGCATGGGATTTCCTCTGGCGGTTGTATAGACTTCTGATGGAAGCCACAGAATATCTGTTATTCATGGAATAAACATTACATCAGATGTTGCTGCCAAGTAAAATTTTCTGCAATGAATTCTATTTTTCAGCATTAAGGGCAGGAATTTTTTTCCATAGACTAAATACATTTATGAAATGTAAATTTTTTCCTATGACATTTTTATGAAAATCATGTTTATCACTGTATTATAGTTATTGTTCACAAACCTTTCTTCATTACTACTTTGTGAGCTTCTTCAGATCAAGGATCCTGTTTTATGTGTCTTTTAATGAACTAATGTTATACCTTCCCAGCATTTTATTTTCAGCTAACAAAGTTAATTATAATGGTAAAAACCAAAATACCGCACAGAGCAAAAACCAACTGTCGTGTGTATATCTTTAGAAATCATCCTTTTCTGGGGCGCCTGGGTGGCTCAGTCAGTTAAGTGTCCAACTTTGGCTTAGGTCATGATCTCACAGTTCGTGAGTGAGTTCGAACCCCGTGTTGGGCTCTGTGCTGACAGCTCAGATCCTGCAGCCTACTTCCAATTCTGTGTGTGTGTGTCTCTCTCTCTGTCCCTCCCCGGTCACACTCTGTCTCTCTGTCTCTGTCTCTCTCTCCCTCAAAAATAAATAGACAAATAATAAAAGAAAGCATCCTTTTGTTACAGTTTGAATTTTGGCATATCTGTGATGGTGGTCCTCAAGACCATCCCCAGGATCCTTGATTCATGAGGAAACATCTAAGCATTCAGCATATTGTTGTACTCATGGCTGTGATTTATTAATGTCAAAGGATACAAAGCAAAATTCGCAAAGGGAAAAGGCATATGTGGCAAAGTCCGGAGGAAATAGGTGAAACTTTCAAAGTTCTCTCTTAATGGAGTCGCACAGAACATGCTTAACTCCCCCTGCAACCTGTTGTCACAGCATGTGTGAAATGTTGCCAATCAGAGAAGATTATTAAATACTCAGCATCAGGGTGTTTTATTGGAGGCTGGTCCCCTAGACAGCTTTGCTTGACATACCAAAATTCCTGACTCCCTTAAGGAAAGAGGTTGTTCAGCAAAACCATATTGTCTCTACAGACAGTTTAGGTACAGTGAGGCACTCTTGTCTGTCGGGGAATGGGAACACAAGTTCCCAGATGCCAGCCAAGGACCAACTGTGTTAGCAGGCCTTTCTGAGGAAAGCAGTCAGACCTGTTAACTCTTTTCTGTACTGCACCTTCTTTTAAATAATTAAAATATCTTGGGGGTCCCCGGGTGGCTCAGTTGGTGAAATGTCCGACTCTTGGTTTTGACTCAGGTTACAATCTCATGGTTTCATGAGTTTTAGCCCCACGTCCGGGCTCAACAGTGTAGAGCCTGCTTGGGATTCTCTCTCTCTACCTCTCTCTCTCTGCCCCTCCCCCGGTCACACTGTCTCTGTCTCTCTCAAACTTAAAATTGTTTTTTAAATAATTAAAATATCTTAAGAAATTAAAATGTTTTAAATAATTAAAATATTTTAAATAATTAAAATAAAATAGCAATTTCATTATATAGTACTTAGAACATACCCCCAGGCATTCATTAGCACATGGAGAAAATAAGAAGGAGGGAAAATAATAAGGAAGTCTGCAAAAACAACCAAAGGTATGCAACAAAACTCCATGAAATAAAGCTAGAGGAGGTGGAGAATCTTAACACTGAGGGAAGGAGGATAAGGCTTGGAAGATTTTATTAGAAAGATCTCCTGCAATTACTATTCATGTCTGTAGAGACCAAAGAGGAAATAGGCTTAAATTAATGCAACAGGGATTTTGATTGAACATGGGTGATAAATGCCTGAGTTGTGCGACACTGGGGCAAGTTAAGTTGCTTCTTTCCTGGGTTTCCCTGTGTTCTCCGTGAGGAGGGAGAGCGTGGATAGCATTCCATCTTGGTTATTTGCATATTCACTTTCCAGAAAGAATGAAAGTAAGCAGAATCAGCTGGTCATTCTGGTGCATTCAGCCCTATTACTTTGATTCTTTATAAAGAGCTAGTACCAAAAATGAATATAGATTATGCTATTAAAAATTTTTTAAAGCATCTATTTTTAAACACAGGTGGAATGAACTAGGAGGATGTGTGATTCCCACTGGTCGCCTGCAGGTATAGATATTATATTAATAGTGAATAGAATCTGTATTCGCAGTGCATGATGTTTTCTGAAAGTAGTTGTGGAGAGAGATATACTTCTTATTTAATGCCAAATTATTAATCAGGATTTTTAAAAGCCTTACTGCTAGTGTTTAACTCTTACAAATGATGTGCAACTAAAATAATAATGGCCTGTGGATTTTTTCTTAAACATTATAATTTTTATTATTGGAAATTGAAACATAAACAAATGGGAAAAGAATAAATTCGAATCACTTTGGAAAATGACCCAGATACAATCACCATATATATTAATCATGCTTTAATAAAAATAAGGCCCCAACCACTGAATATTTGGTTTCTACAATAAAAGAGATCTATCAGGGAAAAAGCAACATATTTTACTAATCGGTACATGTGGAAAATGTTAGTTATCTGTTTTATCTTAAACTCAAAAAGAAAATTCAAATATAGACTAGAAGGTATAGCAATGCCATTGCAGCAATATTAAGTGAGCAGCAAATGTAACCTTTTATAATGTTCTTCATTATTTGTGCAGGAATAATACCCTGCCTACAGCTTTTCTTCTGTTTTTTAAGAAAAGAAATCTAAAGTGGTATAGAAGCAGTTTTGGTCACTGAATAATGGTTGGAAAATCTTAAGGTATTTCTCTTTAGACTGGTGTTCTTCGAACCAACTGTGTGGACTGTTTAGACCGCACCAACACGGCACAGTTTATGGTGGGAAAATGTGCTTTGGCTTATCAGCTGTACTCCTTGGGACTGATCGACAAGCCTAATCTACAGTTTGATACAGATGCAGTTAGGTAAATCTTCTTTTCTGCCTTTTGAGTGCTGGTAATGACAGAAAGCAAAACTGATTATAATAAGGAATTCTATGAACTTGTTTCTTCATTTAGCTTCTCAAAAATTATATTGCTAAAACTATTCAAATTAATTCTGTAATAAATATTTTTATTAAAGACCTGTGTGTTATTGCCATGGTTTTTATTTTTTGTTGGTATTAATTATCAGTAAACACTATGCTCTTTAGATAAATCCAAAGTGCTTTAGATAAATACAGACTAGTGGTTTTAAAAAAAAATAAATTCAGACTGCATTAGAAAGAAAAAGTAATGTGACTTCGTACATTTGTAATTAAAAATATAAGGCATATAAAAGATTGATTCTTCATTAAGGATTACTGTGTCTTCACTGCCCATTGGATCCATGGCACTGCGTGAAATGCTGTTTCTTGAAAATACAATGATGGTTGTTATCGGTCATCTGATGGAGTCATAAAGGCTCTGTTGAGCAAAGAGATCGGCTTCCAAATGGCCAAATCCACAGATACCGCTGCACTGAAAATCTTAACAGGCACGTGAAGAAATACGAGTTTCAAACATGTTTTTAGGAAAGAATATGGTTTGTCTGTCCCAGAAAGGCAGAAAATTCTGTTGTGGGAGATAAATTGATCTGAAAAATCAATTAGAAAGATGAAAAATGTTAGAAGTCTTTCAATAAGGTTAGAACCACCGTGGTCTGGCTTTGGTGGGTTACGTTTTTGGTGCCCTTACTTCCTTTTCAGTGTTTTCTTTGATTTTGTTACTTTTTAGATTATTACTATAGTGTATATTTTGCACGTACATTTATTATCAAGAGTCTACTTGAAAGGCTTTTAGGAATTCAAAGGTGGCTAAGTGAAGAGCGTGTGTAACACTTTCAGTAAAATTTTTTAATGTTTTTCTTTGGTTTAGGTTATTTGAGGAACTCTATGAAGATCATGGGGATACCCTGTCCCTTCAGTATGGTGGTTCTCAACTTGTTCACCGTGTCAAAACCTACAGAAAGATAGCACCATGGACCCAGCACTCAAAAGACATCATGCAGACCCTGTCTAGATATTACAGCAATGCTTTTTCAGGTAATTCTGGAATAATAAGCATTTCTACAACTTTACCTGATGTGCATTTTTCTTCTTATGCATTTTCCTTTTTTAAGCAATCTGGCTAAGTGAAATCAAAATTAAATATTTTGAAAGTTTAAATAAAATAGAATCTCACTTTGAAGGTGCTCAACAATAGATTTGTTGTCTCACAGTTCTGGAGGCTAGAAGTCCAAAATCAGGGTATGAGCAGGGCCGTGCTCCTTCTCCCTGAAGGCTCCAGGGGAGAATCCTAACTTGCTTCTTAGCTTCTGATGATTGCTGGTGATCCGTGGCTTGCAAGTACGGCACTTTAATTTCTGCCTCTGACTTTGCCTGACATTTTCCCCTTGTGTCTGTGTCTTCATGGCACTTTCCCTGTGAGTCCCTCTCTTCATGTAAGGACATTAGTCATAGTGGATTATGGGCTGCCCTACTCTAGAGTGACTGTGTCTTTTTTTTTTTTAATTTTTTTAATGTTTATTTTTGAGAGAGAGAGACAGAGTGTGAGTGGGGGAGGGGCAGAGAGAGAGGGAGACACAGAATCCAAAGCAGGCTCCAGGCTCTGAGCTGTCAGCACAGAGCCCCACGCGGGGCTCGAACTCACAAGCCATGAGATCATGACCTGAGCCAAAGAAGGTCACTTAACCAACTGAGCCACCTAGGTGCCCCTAGAGTGACTGCATCTTAACTGGATCATATCTGCAAAGACTCAACTTCCGAATAAGGTCACATTCACAGGCCCCAGGGCTTACGACTTTACCATATCTTTTGGGGGGACACATTTCAACCTGTAACACTCGTGTAAGTAGTGTGCCAATATGTTCCTATCTCTCTGGGGGTGGGTTACCATGGAAAAGGTTGAAAACTGTTCTGATGGAAAGAGAGCATCCACTCTTCTGTACTCTGTTATCATTGTCCCTATGATGGGAATGATTATTGATATATAAGGACCAAGTAAAGTGTTTTTTATTTTATTTTATTTTTTTAAATTTTTTTTAATGTTTTTATTTATTTTTGAGGCAGAGAGAGACAGAGCATGAGCAGGGGAGGGGCAGAGAGAGAGGGAGACACAGAATCTGAAACAGGCTCCAGGCTCTGAGCTGTCAGCACAGAGCCCGATGCGGGGCTTGAACTCATGAATCGCGAGATCATGACCTGAGCCAAAGTCAGACGCCTAACCGACTGAGCCACCCAGGCGCCCCGGGTAAAGTGTTTTTTAATAAGACTGGGGGACAGAGAGAATGAATGTGTAGCTGTACATTATTTAAAAAGCAAGGAGTACTATTAAAAGATAGAAAATGGTCGTGGAAAGATAAGACAAAATTGCCCACAACTGCGAGAAGAACTACTATGAAAGCAATTATTTTATGAACAATGTGGCTAAAACAGACTTTATTTTGAGAAGCATGGTGTCGTTGGGGTGTACAACTTATTTTAAAAATACAGTGGATATTATGTTAGGATTTATAGAACCATTCTCTTTAAAGCACTCAAGATAACTTTACAAAACTTAACTTCCTTACATTATTCCTCTGGGGTGGGCAGGAAGATGCTTGAAATTAAGTTGTTAGGAATTTTTTTCCTCTCATTACCAAAAAAATTTATGTAGACAGACAAACAGCAAATTAAGTCAAAAGATAAGCTATGGAGAATTTTGAAACCTACCATCAAATGCTAATTTTCTTTAGATATAAAGAGCCAGTATTTCCTTTAGATGTAATAAGCCAAAATAAAGAGACCAACAGTTTAAGAGAAAAAAATAGGCAAATGAAATGTACAGTTCGTAGGGAAAAAAATGCAATGGATTCCAAACATATGAAAGAAAGCTCAACTTCACTATCTTGGCTATTGTATGTAATGCTCCAGTGAACATAGGGGTGCGTCTTTTTGAATCAGTGTTTTTGTTTTCTTTGAATAAATACCTAGAAGTGGAATTGCCAAATCATATGGTAGTTCTTGTTTTAATTTTCTGAGGAACCTTTGCACTGTTTTCCACAGTGGCTGCACCATTTTACATTCACACTAACAGTGCACAAGGATTCCCTTTTCTCTGATTCCTGGCCAACACTTGTTACTTGTTGTCTTTTTGATAATAGCCATTCTGACAGATGTGAAGTGATATTTCATTGTGGTTTTTATTTGCATTCCCTGGTGATTAGTGATGTTGAGTATCTTTTCATGTGTCTCTTGGCCATCTATATTCCTTCTTTGGAGAAGTTTCTCTTCCGGTCCTCTGCCCATTTTTTAATCAGTTTTTTTTTTTTTTCAGTTTATTTATTTGTTTTGAGAGATAGAGAACAAGTGGAGTAGGCGCAGAGAGAGAGATGGGGAAGGAGGGTGGAGAGAGAGAATCCCAAGCAGGCTCCACGCTATCAGCACAGAGCCCAGTGCGGGGTTCAGACTCACAAACCATGAGATCATGACCTGAGCTGAGATCAAGAGTTGGGCACTTAACCGACTGAGCCACCCAGGTGCCCCGATTGTTTGATTGTTTTTAATCAATTGTTTTGTTTTGTTTTTTTTTATATTCTTTATATATTTTGAATATTATCCCCTTATTGGGTGTATCATTTGCAGATATCTTCTCCCATTCAGTAGATTATCTTTTCATTTGTTGATGGTTTCCTTCACTGTGCAAAAGCTTTTTAGTTTGATGTAGTCCCATTTGTTTATTTGTTGCCCTAGGTTGTTAGGAATTTTATTGTTGGTTTGTGTAGACAGATCGATGCTATATGGGCAACCCACCTGAGTCTCTTTCAGGCTCATTTTAAAAATTGTTCTGAAGCTTCACATATTAGCATGCTCTGAGCTTTGTCTTTAAGAAGTACCTTTGGTTTCCAACATAGCTGGTTACATCAGCAGTTGGAGGATGCCAATAAGGAAAGAAGAGATACCTAGATACTCCCTTCAGGTGTTAGGAAGAGCTTTATAATTATAACTGTCTGAAGGACCTTGATAAGCTCCTTCTAATTTTTTTTTTTTTTTTTTACATTTACTTTGGTAAGCTGAATTTTTTTGCTGAAGCTTGTTGAATTTAAATCCTATTATAAGAGGGTGGGTAGCTCAGTCAGTTAAGTGGCCGGTGAAATGGGTAAGCTGCCGGTTAAATGTCCAACTCTTGACTTCACCCCAGGTCATAATCTCACAGTTGTGGGATTGAGCCCCATGTCAGGCTCTGTGCTGGGCATGGAGCCTGCTTGAGATTTTCTCCCTCCCTCTCCCTCTGCCCCTCCCCCACTTGCGTGCATGTGCTCTCTCTCTCCCCCAAAAGAAAAATAAATAAAATAAATCCTATTATAAGAAAGAAAGAGAAGATATATGATACCTTCAGCAGTTAATAACAGATTAGTGTGTGTGTGTGTGTGTGTGTGTGTCTGTGTGTGTGTGTGTGTGTGCGTGCATGCATAGGGGAGAATCAGATCCTTCTCAAACAGATTTAAAAAAAAAGAAAAGTTCACAAGGTAAAGAGCCTACCATACTTGGAAAACACATGGAGGTGGCACCACACAGCATTATGATAGTGCTGTAAAGTAGTGGGACAGTTTCTTTCCCTTTCTGCTCACCACTGGAACAGGGGCATACGAGGGAGAACATTTTAGTTTATCAAGACTAGTGAGACAGCCTTCTAAGGTGATCCTTCTGAGGTTTAGAGTGAATAAGCTGTGCTTGGCTATAGCAGGAAGAAGACACTTGGCAATAATTTTTGTTTTAATAACATTTTAAATAACAATAACTATTCACCTTTCCTGCAACCAAAGCAGTTAAACTTGGCAGAAGAAAAAGTTGCAACTAAGTACTCTCAGTTTAACCCCTCTGCCATGCTTTGAATCCCATCCCTTCATACTTTCCCTGTAGCTTTCGTTGCTGCACATAATCCGTTTCCCCCTCTCTACTGCTTCATTTCCATTAGCACGAAAGCACTCCTTGGTATTTTTTTTCCTTTTGACTTTTCCTTCCATCCTCAGTCCACAGTCCTTTTCCTTTGCATTCCTAAGCAAAACCTCTCTAGTTATCTGCCTGCCTGTTTCCTCTTGTATCCTGTTCTACCTGTTCCACTGGGCATCCTCCCTATCATGCCACTGAACCTGTGCTTTTCAGAATCACCAGGAGTCTCCATATTGCCAAGCCAGTGGTCACTTTTCTGCCTTCATCTTATGGGGCCTGTCACCAGCTTTGATCACAGTTGACCATTCCCTCTTTCTTGAAACTCACCTGTGTAATATCTCACTCAGTCTCCCTATTGATGTCTCCTGCCCCATTTCTAAACCCTCTTCTTTTCTTTCTGCACTTTTACCTTAGGGGCATCTCATCCAGCTCTTAAGTACCATGCATTTGACACTCACCTTTGTATCTCTAACCTTTGACTTCTCTGTTGAGTCCCAGACTTGTTTACCTAAAAGCTGACCTAGCTAACATCTCTTCTTGAATGTTTTCTGAGGTTTCTATAGGTTCTATAACAAATTACCATAAAATTAGTGCCTTAAAACAACACCCATTTATTATCTCATAGTTTCTGTGGGCCAGAAGTCTGGGCACAGAATTACTCAGCTGTGTTATCCACCTAGGGTGTCACAAGTCTGAAGTAAAAATGAAGGTGATGAAGTCAAATGAAGCCAAGATTCAGTCAGTGTCGGGAACCTGGGCTCTTACCTGGAGGCTTCCAGGTTCATTCAGATTGATGGCAGAATCCCATGCAGTTAAAGGACTGAAGTCCCTGTGTCCTTGCTGGCTGTTGGCTGGGGTCATTCTCAGTTCCCAAAGGCTCCTTGCCTTCTTTGACTTGTGGCCTACTCCATCTTCAGAGCTAGCAACCATACACTGAATCCTTCTTGTGCTTCTAATCTTTCTGCCTTCCTTTCTACTCTCCTCTTCTGCCTTTGAAGGATTTTTGTGATTACAGTGGACCCACCCACGTACGATACAGGATAGTTGCCCTATGTTGAAGTCAATGATTAGTAACCTCAGTTACATCTGCAAAGTCCCCTTTGCCATGCGAT